TATTTGTATCTCCTGGGTCTAAAAGCTTCACATCCTCACTAGTCCGGGGCAGCAACGGGGGTTCCACCACCTGGACTACTTGATGCTTTGATGAGTCCAAGGTGGACTCCACATTAATCACTGTAGTCGGGGGTACATGCGGCGTGACCTTCGGATTAGGCAACTGGAACCCCGCCCCAAAGATCACCGGCACGGAGCCCCGCTGGGGACTATCTCCCGATTCTGGTCGGGCCTTATCTCTAGGCGCAATCCGGGAGCTAGAAGCTTCCTCTGTCACAACCCGGCTGGGACGCCTCGGTACTTGGCCTCCGGAACGACCCGAGCCGTCCTTCTTCCCCGTAGTGAAAACACGCCACTCGGTCTCCTTTCCTTTATTACCCACCTGAAAATTACCCATCGGAGAAGCCGTCGGTCGTTTGTCGGCCTCCACTGGCCCTCGGTGGTTGGAAGCCACGGGACCCTGCTGAAACTCGCTAGTCTCCTCCCGGAACACATTAAACCTCGACCCATTCCCTGACGCCGGCATACTCCCGGGCTGAACCGAAACATTACCACCAGAATTCCGCCGTTAGGGCGGCGGCCACTGGTTTCAGCCAGCAACCATGGCCCATACATCCCTCCATTCTCAACGTCCGGATTGGACTTTTCCGTACTCGACTTGCCTCCATGTGCCACAGTGGCATCGCGAGCCTCCTCCCTTTCCCGTGTCCGATCGCTCTCCGAAGCCCCCGGGACCTCCGTCTCTACAGTTGGAGCGGGCCTTGTCGGGCAGAGCGCAACCACATGGCCATATAGCCCACAAGTGAAACATATCTCCAGAAGGAATTCATACTCGACCCGCTGGACCTTTCCCCTAATCGTAAAGCTAGCACACAAAGGCTTATTTAAATCCAACACCACCGCTAGCCGAGCATACTTACCACGAGACTGGGCAGCTGTCTGATGATCAATCTTGACCACTTTACCCACAATCTCCCCAATGTTGACCACCTTACCATCAATTACTTTTGACATACATACAACTATGTATAAATAATTAAATGAACTTATTTTAGCTATGTGAGTAGATTACGCTATTTAGGGAAACAAAAATTCTACTTATAAAATATACAATTAGTGATTTCAATGTAATAAATTTTAAGTTGATCATTAATATTTTTTAAAAAATAACGATGAGTCTAAAGTATGGGAAATGCTACAGCCACCTTACGGAACCATTTTGTCGGGATTTGAAACCGTTAGATCATCATGTAACCGTCGTGGATAGTTGATATCTAACGATTACAAAACCCAACGGAATTGTTCTGTAACGGGACCGTAGAATCTCCCCTAAAGTATATCATAAAACTATGTATGAATGTATATGAATAATTCATGAAATAATCTAAAATATGTTTTTTGTAAGTTTGAAACATTTATGTTAAAAGTATATTGATTTATCATTTTAATATCTTATATACTTGATCCTCAAAATAATTCTTTAATGATATTTTTATATTTTTTAGCATTAAATTTAAACCCATGAGGTATAAACATACCCATTACTATTTAAGATTATTTTATTTTGAATATAATTTTTATAAATACACATAATTTTATTGTATGAACAACTTGTGATTAATTCCTTATTTTTTCATTAGTATTAAATAATAAATTTAAGTTTATTTATATATGTAATATTAACAAATAATTTATTAATACTTTAGAAACAATTATTTTTAAGATAATAAAATGAAGGTTAATTTAATATTGCGTATAGAAAATGGATATAAAATAAAGTTGTAATAAGTTTTTAAAAAGGAAATGATATTAATAGTTAACAAAAGAATTTTCAAAGAAAAGGCACACAACCATATGAGCCAAATAAGTAAATTATAGTTAGAAATATTTTATCTAGTCATTTCAGTAAAATTTTTAAATTTTGTAATTATTTTTAATTTATAAATATTATTCTTAGAATGATTAATCTGTAACCATATCCATTAATTTATATTTTTGAAATTAATTGATATTTAATATTATTATAAGAGATCTTGAAATAATTTATATTTTTTAATTTATAAATAATTTAATATTTTTGAATTTAATTGGTAATTTATAACTTTTGTATATTTTTAATTTATAATAATAATAATAATAATAATAATAATAATAATAATAATAATATTATTATTATTATTATTATTATTATTATTATTATTATTATTATTATTATTATTATTATATTTATTATTATTACTATTATTAGCATAGGTATCTTAGATAATAAGTTAGGTATTTAATATTATTACAAGGGATCTTGTCTTGTTGGAAAAGTTAGAAATAAGGTTTAGGAGCCTTATTTAAAGGACTTCTCATCTATTGTTTTATTGAGTTGAATATAAAATAAGAATTAATATCGTGTTTAGATGTTCTTGAGATTGCGGTCTCATTAATTTCATCTCAGTCGTATGTTTCACTACATCAAAATTTCTCTGTTAATCCTCGCTTTGGTGATTTGTTAATCTTAGGCCTCCACTTAAGGTGAGTGCATGCACGATTAATGAAAATGCTACCCTAAAGGCCAAAGTGGAACTTGCTCCCTCTTTGGTTCCTGCCAAATGGGACAAGTTCGTGGTTTAGCAGACTTATCTCCGACAAGTGCTCAAGCAGTTCGTGGGCAAGAGGCGTAAGAACATGGGGATAGACCCTTCGACATTGAGTGGTTCAAAAGGGGGGGAAAAGTCTGTAGAAGATGATGAAGTCGAGGACGTTTCCGCTTATGAAGTTTGATGTTAGTAGTTCTAGTTTTTTGGTTTCATATTTTGAAGGATGGATGTAGTGAGGTCTTTCTGATGTAAGAACCTCGTTTATTTTGTTGCTTTGTTATTATACTCGTGGTATGATGCTTGTTGGACAACTGCACAATCTGTTTTTATTTTTATTGTTATTAAGTAATCCATTTGTAGGTGTCTCTCCCTTAGGCATAAATGTGTTCTTACACAACTTTTGGTTGGTGGTGTTCTTAGAGATATGACCCTTGACCGCTACATTCTATGTACTTTGCTTGTTGTTCTTATCTTGTTCTCAGGTCATCTTCCGAGATTTGATTTTCATACTGAATGCCAAAGGGGGAATTGAAAGATATATTTTCGATAATGAGTTAGAAAGTAGGAACTCTCGCGAAAAAACCCTCTGCAAGCAAAAAACAAGGAAAAAAAAAATCCCTAATCTGTGTTCTTCCTCTTCAGCGGAGCGACGCCGCGCTACCATCTTCGCCGACTAGTGCTTCCTCCCGGCCGGCCAGCGCTTCGAGGACCTCACGACCATGGTGGTTTTCGCCGTCTCCCTGGTTGCCGCTGGGTCTGTGGTGGTGCCGCCGAGGTGCAGGTTGGGCTGGGGGGAGGGAGGGTCCTCTGCAGCTTGGTATCTGCCAGTGGTCCGGTGTGGTAAGTCCTTTTCTCTCCTTGCTTTTCCGTCTCCCTGGTGTTGGGGGAGGGCTCCTTCTAGTGGGGTTTTGCAGATTCAGGGACCGTTGGCTGGATTTGTTGGCAGTGTCGATGAGTTCAGGGTCGGAGTTTGGTGCTCGGCATACTCGGCTCTCCGTCGTTCCTGGGGTTGGACGATGGCTCCGTCAGGAATGTTGGTTGATGGCTTCGGGGATGGCAGATCTCGGCTATCGGAGTGGGGTGGAGGGTTGGGGCTTGCTGTGGTGTGCTGGTCTGTGTGTGGTGAGCCTCTTGAGATAGCGGGTTTGGAGTGTTGGGCATTGTTAGACCTTTGCTGCAGTTTCAGGTTTGGTGCGTCGAACCGGGTCTCAGTCTGTGGGGGTGACGACTCTAGATGGTTGATGTCGTGGCGGTTTGTGGGGACGCTTGTCAGTTGTAGAGGAGGGCTTTTTCTTAGTTATTTTATGTAGGTTTGTTTTGTGTTTGTGTTTGTGTAGTGTGTTGTTTTGTGACTAGTGTTTTGCTTTCTCCTTTTTTAGAGGAGTGGTGTTATTCTCATCTGGGAGTTGTGTTATTCTCCTTTGGGGAGTTTGTTTATTCTCTTGTGGGGAGTTTTTATTTTTCTTATTTGTCTTGTAGTGTGCGTTGTGGTTTATAGGCTGTCTCAGGTAGTCCTCCTATTTCGGCTAATGAGATGATTGTAATTAGTTGTTTTAACGAATGAATTCTGCCGTTTCGAAAAAAAAGAAAAAAAAGATAATGAGTTAAAAAATAATAGCATGAAGATATAGACTATGTTTGGTAGACAAATAAAGCTAGCTTATAACTTATTTGGTTAGCTTATATGCTCATTGTATTAAAATAAGCCTCGTTTGGTAGGAGAAAAAGCTCGAGCTTATTTGATAAGCTTCCTTAGGTAACTTTTCAAATAAGCTAGTTGAATTTTTTGTTCCAACTAGCTTATCAGCTAATTTTACCAAACACTTTTATCGTATAAGCTAGCTTATCAGCTATAAGCCATAAACTATAAGCTAAAAAATTACTGATAAGCTATCAGCTAATTTTACCAAACATAATCATAGTCTTACTCACAACGAAAGCAAAATGAAAGTGGAAGATCTTTTTTGCTATATATGTATATTTGTCCGATTTATTTAAATGCAAGATCTTATATGTGATTGTGTGATTATTGTCCCCTTCAATTTGTGCAAACGGCAGAAAAGCCACACCAACTGATTTTAGGTCCCAAGAAACATCACAAGCAAGATTGAGAAGCTGAATATCCTAAAAGAATTCACAATTTAGAAAATGCAAATCTCTTTTTCACATCTACATGGCAAAACCACATTTGCAATAAAATCAGTATAAAAGTATATAAGTAGCTGAAAAACAAAATACTACTAACCCTTTAGCCTAATCATCTTTTAGAAATCTACAAATACCTCAACACAAACCAAGCATTCTTCAGAACATGGCATCCAAGCATTCCATCAAAAGAATATCAATACCAGCATTTGGTAACACATAGGAAAAAAGAAAACCGAGCAACCCAAATCCGAGGAACCTGCCAACTCAACTCAAGTAAACGAGGCTGTTGACGTACGGGAAAATCCTATGATGCACAGTGGACTCGGATGCCTCGCAGCCCACCACCTTCTCGAATCTCTCATCTCCCAGCCCACACCAGTACACCATTCCCCCAACCATCACCAGCAGCCGCCCCTTCTCATAGTAAGGCAACACCCCATAATTACACCCAAAAGAACCCACATTCTCCAAGAACCAGTTCACTTTCTTCACCAATCTCATCTCCACCCCGTAATACATCTTCAGGACATATCCCACCCCATGCTGCTCAGATATCCCGACGTAGGCAATCTCCCCCTCCATCTCCACCAGAACCCCACGGGCCGGGCTCTCCTCAGGCAGTGCCAAAACCTGACACACATCAATTTTAGGGTCAAAAGCCACCACCTTCCTGCCCGTCGTGTGCCAATAAGCCACCCCCTTCATGTAGAGTCCCGTGCTGAAATATTCGTATGGGCCAACCTCGGGACAAATGGCGTTCGAGCACGTCCACAAGCCTGTCTCGGACGAGTAGGTCTCAAAGCACACGACAGGCTGGTGAACGAGGTGCACGGCACACACCAGCTGATAGTAGGACTCGATGTTTTCAGGGGCCGAGTCGAATGCGAGGACGCAGGCCGCCTTGAGCCCATGGTAGAGCCCAGGCCTTGGGAGAGCCCGAACGGCCCGCGTCACGGGGTTGCATATGTAGTAGATATCTGGCCCAAAGTGAGTGAGGCAGACGAGGAGGCCGTGGGTCGAGGCGACCAAATAGGTGGAGTTGGGCAGGAAGGGGAGGGAGTGTGAGGGGATGCCGCAAGCGGCCCAATCAAGAGTTAAGAAAGTGGGCCCTGAGTCGAGGGACTGGCAAAAGAAGCCTGTGATGGACTTGTGGGTTCGGGCCTGGTGGTGCGCTAGGATTGGTCTTCTGATCCAGCGGTCCCAGCTCTTGGAGACGGACCTGAACCTCATCAGGGCTTTGGCTGGGAGGTAAGGGAGGATGTGTTGCATTATCGGGTCTTTGACAGCCACGGCTGGAGGCTGCTTCATTTCTGGTATCTTCCTTTCAGGTGAAAAACAAATAAGGGGGGGCATTGATGATGATTCAACAGTAGCTCGAGATGAAAAATATGGGACCTGCAATGAATAGAAGATGATTGAATAACAACAGAATTGTTGATGTTAGCACGGGATTTCATATATTTATTGATACTTAAGCCTTGATAAACATTCCATCAAAACCATAAACCAACATGAAAGTACGGGAAAGTGCAATGCGTAGAACAAGATGATCAGAGTTCCCGTAGATTGTGTATATGCATGTGAGATATTATATTTAAAAATGATTAGCATGCCATTGTCACAAGTAAATACCTGATGAATGTTAAAGCTGTTTAAAGAACTCAATAAGTCCTACAGTTCATTGGAAAATTCCAATCACAAGAAAGATCTGCCACAAAAAAAAAATGTACCATCCAACATACTAGAAACAAAGAAGTTGCACACAACATTGCCTTAATCATAGAGAATAAATCCGGTTCCAAAGATTTTTCACGCATAAAATAAAATAAAAAAAGTTGAAACAAATACAAGAATGATCAAACATCTATGACAAACAAAGGAATTAGGAATTAAAGATTATCGTGAACTTCAACTCTCCATAAACACTGTAGCAATCAATCCTCGAGAAACACGTACAGAATCAGTTTCCCAACAATGCACAAACTTGTCATTTCAGATTTTAATTTAAATACCGAATGCAGGTAGAGAATTGTACTTAGTCACATAACATGTTTGTCTGTAGTAACATAACTCACTGTTCATCATGCTTTAGTTCCAAGACGCGTAACATTGACACAGTAAACCAGAGAAGAGCTTTGTTTAAAGAAAGTTGTATTTTGTATCACCCTAAAAAGATTCTAAAACAAGATAAATTCTTTCTTAAAGTGCCCAAGAAAAAAACAACAGAACAAATTAAAAGAAAACAAGATTACGTTAACCTGAAGAGATTCAACACCATCATCATCACCATCACCATCACCATCAGCATCAGCATTATCGACATCACCATCGTCAACATCATCACCATTATCGACATCACCACCATCACCATCACCATCATCATCATCATCATTATCATCATCACCATCATCATCATCATTATCAACATCACCGTTGTCAACATCATCATCGGAGCTCTCGCACTTCTCTTCCTCACTATCCTTTTCCACAAAGTACCACTCTTCGCCGTCGAAAATATCCACACCAGCGTCCCGATCAACCTGTGCCTTTTTACTTCCAGTAACCATTATTTTCTCGAATGTGATTTTCCTCAAGCGAAATACGATAAACCCTATACAGAAAACAGCACGAAATCAAAAACCCATGTAAGCATCAGGCCGAAGTAAATCACAAAACAGTGCAATCGTCAACTTTCGATTCGAATAAATTTGTTCAAGGAAAAGTACATGCAAATTCATGAAACAGATTTTGGCGTCCAAAAATTGATCTTTCACAATAAGTTCGTAACCAACAAAAAAATTCGCGTTCGAAATTGGCAAATAAGATCGACCCACATTCAAAATTGACGACCAAGAAAGCAAACAGCACAGAACAATTAAAGAACACAACCACAGATTCACATGAAGGCTGCGTGAAAACGGGAAAAGAAAACCCAAAACAAAAGAAAAGTAAAACTCGTCGGAACATACTGTGATCGGACGAACAGAGCGATCGACTGAAGACGGATTTCTTGAGCAAACGGCGAGGAATATGAAAATCGCGTTCGAGAGAGAGAGAGAGAGAAAACGAAGACTTAATAGTCAAGCAGAGTCGTAACTGCACGAACGAGACGAGTGAATAATTTTAGAGAGAGAGAGAGAGAGAATGGTGTGAGACTTTGTTGAAGTCATATTAGTACAATCTCGGTCAATTATAGTCGCAGGATAGGTTGAACTCGCAAGCAAAAGCCGGATTTTTGGGTATGGTTTGGTCGGAATTTCCAAATTGGACGGCTTGGACGGTTCATCGAGCACGTATATATTTCAAATAGAATTTCAGACTTTGTTGCCAACTAGACTTATTTAAGAGGAAAAAAAAAATTGGGTTGACCCACATGGTAGATTAGGTGAAAGGAGATTGCACCGTTCTGTTACGGAATCATTACATCGAAATTTGTAATCGTTATATCAACTATCCATAACGGTTACATAATCTAACAGTTGGAAATCCCTACAGAACAATTGTAACATTTCTCTTTTAGGTTAATTATCTGGCAATCGAGTCAGCCTAGCCCAGGGGCGATACTACATGTATCACTAGGGAGGCAATTGCCCCCCTCAAATTTTAATTTCTTTTACATTTATAATTAAAAATTTTAATTTGCCTCCTCTTAAATTATTTTTTGCATTCCTAATTTTTTTTTCATGTCTTTTGTCTTCTCTCAATTAATTTCCTGGTTTGCCCCTGGCCTAGCCACGTGTTGGGTCAATTGAAAGCGGCTCAAATTCCACGGACTCAGGGTCAATGGCTAACGGACATAACTGTCCATGTAATACACAAAGAGTTCCATAAAGAAAGGGAAAAAATAAGAATTGTAAAACTAATAGATTTCTTCTAAAAAGACAAAAAAAAAA